ACGCTGCCTTATAATGGATAGGAACGCTTTTCTCCAGTTTGCCAGTCTTCCGTGTTCTCCATGGTCTGGTGTCTTGTCCCTCCTTATCCTGTTCCATCAGTCTCTGTATGTTCCCCTGCCTGCTGACCTTTGTACTGACACTTAGGCCATTTGTGTTGTATGGACCATTTGTGTCCTACAGGTGTCTCTCATCAAATTTTTACCAAATCCTGTTCATTAAACCCTTGATATATGAGGCACCCCACCCCACCCCATCCTCCTCCTCCCCGCAAACTAGAATATTTGAAAATCAATGAATATCAAATCCCTTTTCTGGAGATTTACAATATGCTTTTGTACATTACTGCCACTGATAAGATCTGCATTAAACAAACACCACCCAATTTTATTTCCAAGATAATCTGACCATGGGACCTCCTCCTTTATTTAAGTGAATGTCCAATATCATCTAAAGCAGCTATTTTCAGAGTGTAGTTGGGGAATGCCTAAGAGTCTCTGAGATTCTCTCAGGGGTTCTGTGAAGTCAGAAGTATTTCCTAGTGGGGTGCCTGGGTGGCTCAGTTGGTTAAGCGTCTGCTTTTGGCTCAGATCATGATCCCAGGGTCCAGGATTGAGCCCCATGTTGGGCTCCCTGCTCAGTGGGGAGTCTGCTTCTCCCTCTCCCCCTTGCTCATGCTCTCTCTCCCAAATAAATAAATAAAATCTTAAAAAAAAAAGTATTTTCTAATAAAACTACAGCATTATGGTCCTTTTTCCTTCTCACTCTCCCAAGAGTATACAGTAGAATTTTCTAGAGGCTGTATGATGTTCAGTAATATAACAGATTAAATACAGAAATGGATATGAGGATATATTAAGCCAGATAGTAAGGTGATTTAAAAAAATGTAAAACAGTGTCACTTTTCTCCCTACTTAAAAAAATATAAATGGTTATTTTTTATAAAACTTTACGGTGTTAACATGCTAATAGGTTAAAAAAAATATCTCCGTTTAGGGGCACCTGGGTGGCTTGGTCAGTTAAGCCACTGCCTTCAGGTCCTGGAATCGAGCCCCGCATCAGGTTCCCTGCTCCGCTGGAGGTCTGCTTCTCCCTCTCCCACTCCCCCTGCTTGTGTTCCCTCTCTCGCTGTGTCTCTTTCTGTCAATTAAATAAATAAATAAAATCTTAAAAAAAAAAATCTCTCCGCTTAGATTTCTACTATGCCAAATATTCACAAATATAACTCACATGAACAAAAGTCCTTTGGGGTCCTCATTAACTCTTAAGAATAGAAGTGGTCCTGAAACCAAAGAGCGTGAACACCGCTGACCCGGCAGAGTCACTGGTCATGAGTAACTGGTATTTTTGCCTGCCCAGCAACACAGCATCAATTCCTTGTCTTTGATCGCTGTACTTTAATTTTCCTTTGGGAGTTATCTCTCCTCTCCTCTCCTCTCAGCCCATAGGTTCCGATTGGGTTAACTCAATCCCCTGGCTCAAGGGAAAGGCATTTGATGAAGGCCTGTGTCCAACCATGCCTGAATCTAGACCTAATGCTACATTTTTCAACTACATGCACCAAAAAATTGTCCCTTGACTGCAAAGGATTTTCATCTTAATACACTAGGGTACCAGGAAATGCAGCATGAGAAATGTTGATCTAATCATCATGTTGTTTGTAGCTGAGTATTGACATAAACTTGAATCTTCAACTGTGTTTTGGTCTTGACATCTCTTAATACCTTAGTTCACTAGGGCTCTGACTTAATTATTTTGCAATTTTAGTAACAAAGTAACTGGCTAATTGATATATTAAGGTATATTATATTAAGGTAATAATAGATCTATTTATGAATTCACAGTAAGACAGGCATGTTCAATTGGGAAGATGTATTAAACAAAGAATTATAATAACATAATGATTCTCTGCCTAAGATAGACCCCTGGTCACTCTCTCCCTTGGTAGCTATTATTCAAGTATCAGTTTTAATCATTATCTTTGCCTCTCGAGAATAGGTTAGTCCCCCTCCCCATTACTAAAATGTTCTCATCATTCTAGCACTTTGGTTTTGGAACACTCATCATAGTTTTAGTTAATTATTTAATGATTTGTTTGATATGTTTCTTTCCCACCAGACTGTAAGCTGCATGTTTATCTTGATCACTCTGTCATTGGGATCCAGCCTGGTGCATGGTATATGGTAGGTTTCCAGTAATGTATCTGTGAGTGAGTGAGTGCATGAGTGTCACGATAGGAGGAGTCAGGGTGTTGTGGGGGCATAAAACAGAAGGAGCCCACCCAGGTCAGGGGAAGAGAGGAGGACTACGGGAGAAATGATACTGGAGCAGAAAGAGGAAGGATGAGTAGGAGAGTCATCCCACTGTGGAGAGAAGGGAGAAAAGCACACTACAGTGAAGGATAATATTCGGAACTGATGTAGAACGGGAGTCTTGAGCCAGATTGTGAAGGACCATTGGAGGTTTTTATCTCAAGAGTTTAGACTTTATACCAATGACACTTGGAAGCCATTAGAGGGTTGGAAGTAGGGAAATGATACATCTTTTTGTTTTAAAAGGAAATCCCGGTCAGTGTGTGCAGAACTGTTCAGGGGCAAGCAAGTCTGGAGGAAGTGGGACCACTTAGGTGACATGATTAATTAGGTAAAAAAACAATGTGACTTGGACTGGGATTGTGGCAGTCTCCTTCAATCATATTTTTATTCAACACATATTTACTGTGCACCTACTATATACCAGGCAACATTTTAGGACATGGGGATATAGAGATGAATAGTACAGATAAAGTTCTTGAACATGTGGAGTTTATATATCAAGGGGTGGAATGCTGATGAATGAATAAGCAAATAAAGAGGCTGGAAAGGTTCATTACCTTCAAAGAAGCAACAAATGGACTCACAGTGGTTTCCAATTCAGCTGATGCATGCCAGAATACAATGAGATGGAATCTTTAGGGTACTAAAGGAACACAAGAGCCAAGCAGTAGGAACGTCACATGAGAAATTCTGTACAAATATAACATGTGGTCTAATATATGAAGCTACTGGGTCAAACATACCTGAACATGATTCAGAGATTTGAAGGACCCTCTTGTAATCTGAGGATCATGATGGCAAGGAACAAAAATGTGTGTAAAACACTGGAAAAAATGGAAGGGATTACAGAGAGGTCATTGTGGGTTTAGTTGTTGTTGTTGTTATTATTACTTTAGAGAGAGAGAGTGCCCGAGGTGGAGGGAGGGGCAGAGAGAGAGGGAGAGAGAGAGAATCCCAAGCAGGCTCCACTCTGAATGCAGAGCCTGACACAGGGCTCAATCGCAGGACCCTGAGATCATGACCTGAGCCGAAATCAAGGAGCCACCCATGTGCCCCAGGGTTTAGATGTTATAATGCATTTTAAACTTCTTTGATCTTAATAAAGATCTACAAAAAAGATGAAATATAGAATTGTTTTCCAAAAGAAGACTAAAGAGTCTTCTCAAAGTTAACAAACAAAAAGTAGGGAGATGCCCAGGTCTGCATGGAGTAGAAAATTAATGTTAATTACTTCTATACTGGAGTCTGAAAATTTTTTTCCTCTCTTTTCCTATCAAACTTGTTATGCATACACACATAAATGCTAAAAGCATTTTTTTTTATTTGAACAAACCATTTCATTTGTACAGATGCTTTTTTAAATCCAACCCGGTTGCTCTTCCTTAACATGTGCTGTGTTCTAAGTGCTCACCTGAGTGCACGAGCTTTACTAACTTAGAGATGTGTCATTTGTGAGAAATCTTGCCTAGAGAAGAACCCATTAGAGAACTATGCAGAAAGAGAACACAAAGTTAAAAAGGAATCATGAAATGTAGAACACCACGAAGGTGGAATTTTCATAGGTGTCTCAATTGTCCAGCACCCACTTCCCTTACTTCCTGCTGAAGATGTATCAGAATTTATGAGCCTAGTCCATATTTTCATTTTCTCACCGAGGGGCACAATTCCGAATAGGGGCTTTTTAAAAACCCTTCAAAGTTTTCTTTAGCAATGAAACTAACATTTAACTTACACCTTCAACCTTGTGTAACATTCATCTTTCTCCATTCACAGTCATGAGCTCTCCTGGGGCTCCCTATATCTTAGTATATACCCTCTTATCTTTAGGATACTGAAGGAAAATAACCGTCAAGCAGTCGGAATGCCTTGTGACGAACCCTGTCGGAATGTAATATATGGTCCTATATATGAAGCTACTGGAGCCTACCCTTCTCTCTGTACTGTTTTCTTTTCCTAGCTCAGAGTTGGTGCTTATAGGCTCTCTGCTCCCACATTCAAAACCTGCCCTACTCAAAGCCACTCTGAGGGTGCAGAAGCAGGGATTTGGGACCTGGGCTCTGGTTTTCTAAGGCTGCCAAAATTATTCGGAACCTATATTTGGAACCATGATAGAGGCCGCACCCTCAGGATCCCCAAGGATATTCCTTGTTGAATTTCTTTCGGGGTGATGGAAAGGAGGACAGGATCACTAAGAGATCACCAAGTCCAACTTCCTAAAACCTATAGGAGAAACTGAAGCTCAGGGATGCTAACTGCCCGTCTGTGATGTCACCTTTATCCTTATCCTTAACCGAGGCACCATCTGCCTCTCCCCCCGGCCCATCTCTTGGCGGCTGAGGATGAGCAAGTGGCGTCTGGCTCCGCTGAACAACCCACAGCCCTTATCCTCTGAGAGTGCTGATGGGGAGGAGGCCGTTCAGAGAGAGTAAGAAAGCGAGGGAGGAGAAAGGAAGGAAGGGGAGCCAGAGGTGGGAGTGGAAGAGGCAGCCTCGCCCGGGGCTGATTGGCTCCGGAGGCCAGCCCTCGCCAGCGGTTTATAAGAGTTGGGGTAGCGGGGCGCCCTGCCCGCTCGCCCGCGCGCCCCCCGAGCAGCGCCCAGCTCTGAGCGCCCCACGTCGAGGCCCGCCTGGCCCCGCGCCGGCTCCGCGCCGTCTTTAGAGGTGGTCGCGGGCAGAGGCGAGGGAGGGAGCGAGCGAGGGAGGCGAGCGCCGCAGCCAGCCGGCCGAGCGCCATGCGCCGCGCCAGCCGAGACTACACCAAGTACCTGCGCGGCTCGGAGGAGATGGGCAGCGGCGGCTCGGGCGCCCCGCACGAGGGCCCCCTGCACGTCCCCCCACCGCCCGCGCCGCCCGCGCCGCACCAGCCCGCCGCCGCCTCCCGCTCCATGTTCGTGGCCTTCCTGGGACTGGGGCTGGGCCAGGTGGTCTGCAGCGTCGCCCTGTTCCTCTACTTCAGAGCTCAGGTGAGTGCCCGCCTCCCCGGGGGTCCGCCCACCTCGTCCCTTCAGCACTCGTGGGAAACTGAGTCCGGCCGCCCGGCTCGGCTCCCCAGAGCTTGCATATTCGGGAGGGGAGAGTGACTCTAAAGAGGGTGCGTCCGGCTCGGCCCGGGGACAGCCCGGCGCGGGGCCCTGCGCGCTCGCCTCTGCTCTCCGCGCCCGCCCCTGCCCCGCAGCGGGCCGAGGCTGGGCTAGCCCGGCCTGTTGCGTTTGAATTTCCCCCGCGACGCAGCATTGGCCGCTCACCTCTAATGGATGATTGCACACTCTCCCTACAACCCCTTCCATTTCGAATCTGGAGCTAAGAATTAACTTAACGTCTACTTAGGGGAAAAATTGAGCGCTTAGACGGCATCCCTTTCCCTGCCCGCCCACCACGTGCAGAGGGTTTGGTTCGTGGGGCTGGCTGCTTTGCAGCTGGGCTCCGGGCCGCCGTGCTGGAGGGGAGCGCAGAGCCGAAGGTCGCGCGCGGTGCTTGCACTGCAGGCAGCCGCTGGAGCACCCAGTGGAGATGCCCAAGACGCCTGATGGGCCAAGTGACCGTGCGAGACAGGTTGCGGGACTGGGGCTCCGCTCGCGCGGGGTGCAAGAGGAGGGAAGGACCCCGTGCCTTCCCACTGAGGTGGGCGGAAGAAGGAAGCAAGGTGTGTGATGGTGGTGAAGTTCTCACCCCTGACACAGCCTCGCTACAATCTAGCAAATAACTAAACTTCTAAACGATGAGAAAGAGGGCTGGGAACTGCAGGGAAAGATAGTAGAAAGGAAGGGGTAAATCTGTAATATTATGCTTTCTGGTGGTTTATGCTCTTGTGTTTTCTTGGAAATTGCAGTGCAGTTGGTTAGATTCATTCAAATGTTCTTGTCTGGTGCTGTGAACTCTTTCTCAGAGGAAGTGGAGGGCTGACTGTGCATTTTTTTTTTTTTTTATGGGAAAAGAGAGTTGGGTTTGGACTTCATTGGTTTTCAGATTCAAAGGTTATTACTAAACCAAACTGAATGCATCAAAACACGGCATTGCTTGGATTGTATGGGTTTTTGACATGTGCCAGAGTCTTGAACTCCATTACTTGTAATCATAGGCTTTTTGTTAAATATTCATTATCCACTGTTCTGTGTTTTATAGAGCAAGTTTGATTATCTACTTTTAAAAAAAGGTAGAAATACTATAAGCAATACTTTAGGACACTTGTATTTGCATCTTAATAAAAATAATCTTTGCCTATTGATATATTTTTTCTTAACAAAACAACTTTTGCAACAAAGATTACACACATCTATATCAAAGTGATGAAATGTTTTTCGTTCTTCAGAGTGTGATGCAGTCAAGAATGAGTGGTTCACCCATTTTCCCACCCAGTTTTCTCCTTCCATGTAAAGTCTGTATCTATTGAGTGCCTACACTGCAGATGAGACTATTAAGTGCTATGGAATGGGAGTTAAGGATTATTAATTCAATTCATAAAATATCCACCTACTATGTGCATTGCATGGTGCCAGATTGGTACCTATAACAAAAGACTTAAAATTCTTAGTCAAACAAGAGAGCAGCATTCAGAAAAAGGAAAAAAGATGCAATCATTCTCTACTACTTTTTATCTTTTCTAACACCTTAGGAATATGGCATTTTCGTAGCAGTAATTGTGAAGTGAGTGTTCAGCATCGAAAGAGCAGTGGGGAATGAATGAGCTCTAGGGAAGATGAGCAGGTTAGATTGGTGGGAACCATGGAAACGGGTGTGGCCATGTAGAAAAGAGTGGCATGTTGGGCTCTTAGGAGAGACGTTCTGCATCTCCACAGCAATATTAATGGTCTGGTAGGCTCGGGGGTCTGTCTGATGATCACTTATTGTAATTTAGCAGTCTCCACGTTACATGAGTAATAGTGAAGCTCTCAACACCCTTTTCCAAAGTAAAAGGCCAATTAGTAAGCCTACCTAGAAAATTTTCATTTGTAGATTTAATGTCATCAGATTTTATAGGTATAGTTTTCCTAAATGCCATGAAGAATGGGTTTCTCTAAAACTTATGCCAAATATATTAGCCATTACTCCTGAACCCCATTTTTGTACTGCACTTTTAAAGGGGCATCTTCTTTAGAAAGAAGTTATACCAGGAGCAATGTGTTCATAGGAAGACACCACTAGATTTGGTTGTGTTTTATTGAGTATATAGCATCTACTTTTGATACCTAAAGGAGTCCTAATCATTTGGAGATACTTTCTGAAGTAAGGTACAAGTGAAATGCTGTGATGTCTGGCATTTGTTTCAAAATAATAGGTGGGGAGGGTTCGGGGTAGGGAAGTGATTGCTTATAGATGAAACAAGATTGGCCATGGGTTGATAATTGTTGAAGCTTGGTGATAGGTTTGTGGGAGTTCATTCTACAATTCTTTCCACTTTTACGTATGCCAGAGGCCCTGTCTCAAATTTCTACTAGCTAAGAGAGTAGACTCGATTTGACCCATCACTAATATAACATTTTTACTCATATCAACTCCTTTAGATTAGAACTTGGTAGCAAATAAGAGATACCTTTTTTAGTTCCACTAAAGTTGTAAGTGTCAACTACTTGGGGTTTCTGAATGCATCTGAATTAGAATGAAATCATTTAGGATCAAGTAACATGTTTGCAGTTTATAGTAAACAAAAGAGAAAAAGGAGCCAGTTCTATTGTTTTTGTTGTTGGGGGTGTTGCTATGTAATTCTTCAAGAAAAACCCCCACTTAATTTAGTTTTATATGCATTTAGAAGAATGCCCAGAATAGTGTAAAAATTACAGTGACCTTAAAAGATGTTTCTCCTTCCCAACTCATGTTTGAATAGTTAAAAATGAATCAGCCTCCCAAGTGTTTGCAGATTGCCTGTGCCCAGATTGAAAAGAAAAAAAAAAAAGTACTAGATCTAAAGTAGATTGGCTTTTCCTCCACCAACCTTGCCAAAGAAAAAATAACATGTGGTTTGTGCTATATATTTACCACATAGTATTCATACTTTGGTTTGCAAAGAAGAAGAAGAAAAAAAAACTTCCAAAAAGTTGCTTGAAAAATTGATGCGCGTGCTTTCTTTCTTTCTTTCTTTCTTTCTTTCTTTCTTTCTTTCTTTCTTTCTTTCTTTCTTCTTTCTCTCTCTCTCTTTCTTTCTTTCTTTTTCTTTCTTTTAACATCCATATAACCAAATTCAAAGTTTGGATTTTAGCTACAAGGTAAGCTTTTCAGAAAACTCAATCTCCATTGCCCTTTGAACTCCTTCCCCCAAACGCCCAGGATGCACACCAACCTCCCTGGGTGTTTGTTCCCCAAACTAGAGAGCAGTCACTACTGCGACTCTGATGTGGAGGTGTGACTCTCATGTGGAGGTGTGCGGGCTGCCTGTTTGAAGAAACAGATAACGAAGTAGCACAAATGTCAAGCATCCTGCTTCATTTAACCCTGCACATGATCACATTTCAAGGAAGTGTGTTTTTTTTAAGGACTTGCATTTCAGATGAACTACATCATCTGATAAATGCATTTTAAAGTCTTTTAAATCAGATATTCAAGGTTTATAGAATATGTTCAGACATTTCTAGGTACAATGAAGTCATTTGTAACTCAGTTCACAGTAATTTTTTTTGATGAGCTTCTGCGTTCCTCTGTTGTGTACAGTATGTTCAAGAAGGGAAGGACTGCCTGTTTTGCTCACTACATCATTGGCAGCATTGAACCCAGTGCCTGGTATGTTCAATTTACTGAAGAAGCTTTTCAAATGATTCACAACACTAGAAACTTGCAGTATGGAAGTTATCTAATGAGTAGCTAAACTAGACTAAAAAGTAGCATTTTTTCAGTCATGCAAATTCTCTCTCCAGACTAGAGAGAGAGGGTGTGGGATAGGAAAGTCCTCTGTTCAGCCACTGGACCAGCACCGTGGAGTGCCCCACACCTTGCCCTAGGGTCTTCCCCGCATGGAGACTACCAGAGCAGAGGCCCCCACTGGTGTGTGTGTTCTGCCAGCCCCCTCTCCTCAACTCCTCTCTTTTCTCCTGGTCTCCATTTTGGACAAGGGAAAGCTACAAGACACTGGAACAAGAAAGACGTCTGGTTGCAGGTTAACAAGACATTTCTAAAGTATGGCCTTTAAGTAAACAAAATAAATGACTATCGAAATTAACTATGCCACGCTTTCTTTTGGGAAAACAATTGATGACTTTTATATATGTTTTAGTTCTCGTGTTGCCTTCCTAAACAGTGGTTCTCCAGCGCACATTTGAAGCCCTTGGGGAGAGAGATTTAGTTGGCCCCTACCTTCAGGGATGTGGGTTCAGTTGGCTGGGGGTGGCATCTGGGCCACCAAAAAGTGGAGACTTTTTAAGAGACAGGGGACAAAATCTTTGTGTTATATTTCTTTGCATCAGATCACTAGCCATTATTATCGTCACAAGAGTTTTGTACTAACTGCTATTGCTTGTGAAAAAAAAAAAATTAAAATTGGTGTCCAAGGACATTTCGAGAGCTTTTAAGAGCAGAAAATCTATATTTGTACATTTCATATTTGAAAGCATTTCTTCTCCAACTTTCATGTACTTGGGGAGGACCTGGGATCTAGTTAGGATGCAGATACTCAGGCGGTGCACCAGGGACCTGAGAGTCTGCATTTCTAAGGAGCTCCAGGTGAGCCCGTGAAGCTACAGGTGCTCGGACTCTACTTCCAGGAGTGACAACATGGCGGACAACACTGCTTCCAGTTGATGGCGCTTAGTCTGTAAGCAGGCCTGGAGCTCAACCAATTTTAGGGTCCCCAGGCATTTCCCCGCGAACACCACATTGTTCCTGTAGCTCAGCAGTTCCCTGGTGGTGAGCCAACTGAGGCCTTGTTATGATTCTTCCTTCTTGAGGTCTGAACCCAATGACCCTTCATATCAGCTGCCCAGGCTTCTCTGATTTTGTGGGAAACTTAGTGGCATAAGTGAGCTTTTAAAAAAAAAGTGTGATTGAAAAGCTTTCCTTATATAAAAACTCACATATTCTGATTTATACTGATTATTGTAAAGAAAATATGAAAAATAAATATGGATTACAAATAGTTTTGCTTTGTTAAGGACACCTCTCCCATATGCAAGACTGAAATAATAAAATCTGTATTAGTGGGTGCACGTGTGTTGAAAGGTTATCATTCATTTTGAGAACCTCAGATATGGATAGAGTACTTTCCAGTTTATTTCTGATGGTTGGTTAATAAACCTACCCATCTTTTTTGATTACTTTTAAGAAGATAAATCAGGCACTGAGAGAGCTGGTATTAATTCACTGAGCTTATATTATAAACTATAATTTTTCCTTTCTTCATCCAGTCTGTACCTACTAATGAGCAAATGCACACAAGGTACCTTGAATTTTTGAAAGAAGAGGACAATAAGTTAAACAATTATTATTAAAACAATTGATAGCTAATTATCTCTACCCTTTGCTTGGCAGTTGAAACTCCTACAAGGGCTTATCAGAACCTCAAGAGGAAGGGTTAGACAATTGCAAGAAAAGAGTAATACTTAAAGAGATGTGTATGCAGACAACAGCTAACAACTCGATGGGGATATTTTGGGTGGGACAATCCCTTACATTGTAGGAATTTTCGCATCTCCCCCCTGCAAGTATCCATACAACCTGTTCACCCCATACAGCCTTCTTCATCCCATGTGACATTAACTTTTGCCCCCTGACAGACATACCACTCCAGGTTAAGAAACACTGGTGAGAGTTTCAACACAAAGGGAAATTATGCTTCTGGCTTTAGGTTTTTTGGGGGACCTAGGAACTGGATTTCTCCCTCCCTTCTTTGGCTGATTAAAATATACATTGATTAAGGGAGAAAGGCCAGACAAACATGGTGGCTAAAGATGGTGTTTATTTCACCTGATTTTTGTAGGCTTCATGCTTTGAATATCCAAGTGAGTTTCATCATCCTACCTAGCATGCTGGGTATGACTTAAAGAGAAAAAGCTTTCTCTACCTGCACTGACCACACGTGATTTTCCTCGACGGTCCTCCCCCCTATGAGGACTTTCACGTTGGCAGACAATTTTAATCATTTCCCCACGATTCACACATGTATACTTGTGTTGCGAATCATAGCTGCTCATAAAAATGAATTAGAAGTCAATGTTTCACCAATTTGAGGGGAATTGTACTCACTATTAATTGTTGGGGACATAAAGACTCTTGTAAGAATGAATTTTTTTGTCCTTAGTCAGTCACACTTTATTGAATAGCAGAATGATCAATGATAATTACTCCACGTCCTTTTTTTTCCCCCTCAGATGGATCCTAATAGAATATCAGAAGATGACACTCACTGCATTAATAGAATTTTCAAACTCCACGAAAACGCAGATTTGCAAGACACAACTCTGGAGAGTCAAGAAACAAAATTAATACCTGATTCGTGTAAGAGCATTAAACAGGCCTTCCGAGCAGCTGTACAAAAGGTGAGTCCACATGAGGATATAAGTCAAGGGTCCGCACTGACCCTGCTAATACCGAAAATTAATACTGGCTGAGTGCTTTTGACTTTGTTCTTTTTCATTTCTATAATTTGTAAAAGAGCTAAAGAGAATTTTTAAAAGAGATTAGTAGAATTCTTTTGAAGTTGGTAGTGGCTTCTTATGATGACTAGAGACATTCATGCACATATTCTTTCCTTTCCTTTCTTTTTTTTTAAGAGGAGTCATTTAAATTCATACATTGAAGGAGGACAAAGATAGTTTGTGGTAGTTAATGGGTCAGTTTGCTGGTGTGAACTCCCTGCCCTAGAAACCATTCCCTCAATTTATAGGACACCCTGCTATTTCCTTTACATTTGGTTTTGTAAAGGTAGGATCTCCTATTCCACATCTGTTGGTCCAGGACTCTGTTAAAAATAACAGTTCTGTACCTCTGAAACAAATAATACATTATATGTTAAAAAAAAAAAAGAAGAAGAAGATAGCAGGAGGGAAAGGATGAAGGGGGGAGATCAGAGGGGGAGATGAACCATGAGAGACTATGGATTCTGAAAAACTGAGGGTTCTAGTAGGAAGATGGGTTAGCCTGGTGATGGGTATTAAAGAGGGCACGTTCTGCATGGAGCACTGGGTGTTATATGCAAACAATGAATCATGGAACACTACATC